ACACAGTTCCTCTAAGATTTGGCTTAGAAATTTCATCAGCCAGATATCCAAGTTTACCACTTACAAGCTCTACCTTCCAGCAAACATTTGAACATAATTCAGACAAGTTCTTTTCCACTGCATAAAAATTATCACCCTACAACACAAAATATAGGGGAAGTCAACACAACTTGACCAAAGCAAAGACATAGAAGTTTCCTAAACATATCTGTCATGGATTGAATTGTGTCCCCCAAAAATATCTCTCAACTTGTCCAGGTCATGATTCCCATTATTGTGTGATTGTCTACATTTTGTCATCTGATGTGATTTCCCTATGTGTTGTATATTCTATCACTATGATGTAATAAGATAGGTTAGTGGCAGTTATATTGATAAGATCTACAAGATTAGGTAGTGTCTTGAGCCAATCACTTTTGAGATATAAAAGAGAGAAGCGAGCAGAGAGACATGGGAACCTCATACCACCAAGAAAGCAGTGCCTGGAGCAGAGTGCGTCCTTTGGACCTGAGGTTCCTGTGCTGAGATGCTCCCAGACCAAAGGAAGACTGATGCATCACAAGGACCTTCCCCCAGAGTCGAGAGAGAGAGAAAGCCTTCTCCTGGGGCTGATGCCCTGAATTTAGACTTGTAGCCTACTAGACTGTGAGAAAATAAATTTCTCTTTGTTAAAGCCATCCACTTGTGGTATTTCTGTTATAGCAGCACTCGATGACTAAGGAATATCCAAACACCTTGAGGGACTGATTTGCTGGGGCGGGGCGCTGCATATCATAGTCTTGGGGGACATCTAGGTCAATTGGCATAATATAGTTCATTAAAAAAAAGTTCTACATCCCACCTTGGTGAGTAGTGTCTAGGGTCTTAAAAGCTTGCGAGCAGCCATCTAAGATGCATCTATTGGCCCCATCTCGTCCAGAGCAAAGGAGAATGAAGAAAACCAAAGACGTAAGGAAAATATTAGCTCAAAGGACTAAAAGAGTACATGAATCAGAGCTTCCACCAGCTTGAGCCCAGAAGAACTAGATGGTGCTGGTTACCACCACCAGACGCTCTGGCAGGGATCACAGCAGAGAGTTCCGAACATAGTGGGAGAAAAATGTAGAACAAAATTTAAATTAATGAAAAAAGACCAGACTTATTGGTCTGACAGAGACTGGAGGAACCCCTGATACTATGGCCCCTGGACGCCCTGCTAACTCAGAACTGAAACCACTCCCAAAGCCCACTTTTCAGACAAAGATTAGACAGGTCTATAAAACAAACAATAACACACTTGAGGACTGTGCTTAGGTAGATCAAATATAGGAGACCAAATGGGCAACTCCTGCCCAAAAGCAAGATAAGAGGGCAGGAAGGGACAGGAACTGGACAAATAGACACAGGGAACTGGAGTGGAAAGGGGGAGTGTGCTGTCACATTGTGGGCATTGCAACCTATGTCACAAAACAATATGTGTATAAATTTTTGAATAAGAAATTAACTTGAGCTGTAAACTTTCACCTAAAGCACAATAATTTTTTAAAAAAAATTATTACCCTTCCTCCATTGTCCAATCACGTGTTCATCATTTTCTTTGAAAGCCTCAACAGAAGCACATTTAATGTCCACATTTCTAGCCACATTCTGTTGCTGACATCATATGTATTCTCTAAGATGACAGAGACTTTCTCTATAGAGCTCTTCGTTTCCTTCTGAGCCCTCACCAGAATTGCCTTTGACATCCAACAGTCTCTTCAAGGCAATCTAGGCTTTTACTATTAGGCACCTTAAAACTCTTCCAGCCTCCATCTATTACCCAATTCCAAAACTGCTTCTAAATTTCAAGTAACTGTTAGAGCTGCACCCACTCTTCTGGTACCAAATTCTACATAACCTTAGCAACTGCCCCAGTGGGATGGGCATAGCAGAGGGATGGATGATGCCTGTCTTAGTTATCTAGTGCTGCTATAACAGAAATACCACAAGTGAGTGGCTTTAACAAACAAATTTATTTTTTCACAGTTTGGGAGGCTAGAAGTCAGAATTCAGAGTGTTAGCTCTAGAGAAAGGCTCTGGGGGAAGGTCCTTTTCTCTTCATCTTGTTTCCTCATTCCTTGGAGATCTCCAGGTGGCTCAGCATCAATCTTCCCCCATGTCTGCTTGCCTAATCTGCTCTTTTTAATCTCTTGTAAGAGATTAACTCAAGACATACCCCACACTAATCCTGCCTCATTAACATAACAGAAAACTCATTCCCAAATGGGATTATAACCACAGGCAATCCAGGTTAGGGTTTACAACGTGTTTTGGGGGAGGACAGAATTCAATACATAACACTTGTGGTTGATTGGAAGTGGGCAATGGTAGGGGGAAGTATGAAGAACGACTCCCTGGTTTCTGGTGGAGGCAACTGGGTGGGTGGTGGTGCCATTGATTGAGATGGGGAATGCAGGGAGAGCAGGTCGGGAAGAATGATAAAGTCAGATGGAGTTTGAAAGGTTTGTGGGACACCCCAATGGAGATGGCCAGCAGGTGATTGTATATTTGGGTCTGGAGCTCCAAAGAGAGGCCTAATCTGGAGAGAGGAATATTGGAGTCATCAAAATTTGGATGACATTGACATTGGAAACCATGGAAATGGATAAGATCTCCAAGGGATTACTTAAAGCAGAAATTCTCAACAAGATGTGCATGAAGATGACAAAGCTTCCTGGCTGTGTTCAAAGTCAAAGGGGGGCTTTCTTAAAGTACACTGCCTTTATACCCTGAATTCCAGTAAATCTCCTAGGGAGTATGACCAAGGGAAATACTGTTACTGATGAAGGGGTGACCTAGGGTATAAAGAAGGTTTGAGACCACTGGCAAGAAGAAAAGAGGGTTGACGCAGGCACAGAGAGCAAGGAAGAAGAGCCCAAGAGGCCAAAGAGGAAGAGAGGCTTGAGGAGATTCAGGAGAACAAGGTGTCAAACGTATTAGGACAGAGTGATGATTCTCAACTGTTAGTGTACATCAGGGGAGTTTGTGAAAAACGTGGATTCCTGCACCATTCTGATGCAGTGAGGCCTTGGAATCTGTATTTTAAAGCATTCTGTAGGCACTACCTCTTGGCTAGAAAATTTTATGAAGATGAAAGTGGTCAACTGGCTCAAGTCCAGCAGAAGAGATGGGCCGAGTAAGATAAAGAAAGGAGTCTATCAGATTCCACTCCTCAAGAGGTCACCAGTAACCATGGAAGAGGGAATTTCGGTGGTATCGTGGGAGTGAAAGCCAGATTGCAGTGGGCTGAGGAGTGAATGGAAAGTGAGAAAGAGAAGACAGCCAATGTGGACCCCTTTTGGGAGAATTTTGGATGAGAGGCGGAGGCGAGGACTTCATCCCCCTCAAATCCCACCTTCCACCTCCTGGAGAAAGTTGGCAAAGAGAATTAATGGCAAAGAGAAACCTGGAGGTTGAGTCAGACATTTTGTGGACCCTTCAGAGAGACAAACTGGAAATTGCCTAGCACGTCTCAAGCTGCCAAATTTCAAAACCAAAACCCACTTGGGGTCCTGTCTACCCTCATCACTACCTAAGTAGTCTTTTCATAATCCAGATCCGATCATGTTATATAAGTTACTGCCCAACTTGAAACCCTCCAACAGCTACCTTCTCCCACCTTTACCCTACCCCAAGAGAACCCAAGCCTCTGAAGGTGGCATTCAAAACTCTGCTGACTCTTCTGTTCCCTGGTTCTCTTTGCATCTTCATCCCCAACACCTCCCACCTGCTCCACATTCATCCTCCACCCAAGCCTTTTGGAGCCACTCATTAGCAGTTTCCCAGTGGATTGTGCTGTCCCACTCCTCATTAGCCTGCTGGCCATTTTAGACTCAGCCAGCTCATGCACCACCCCCTCAGAGAGTTAGTTACTCCCTCTTTGGAGAGAACTAGCACGTTGCCCACACCTCTACCACAGCACTGTTAGAATGAATTATTCTGTGTCTATTTGTTCATGCACTGTACCTCCTCAGGACTGTCATGTTCTGGGACCAAGGTCATTGTCTTACTCCTCTCTGGATCACCAGCACCTGGCCAGGGCTGAGCTCCCAGAAACAAAACCCAAAAAACCAAACCCGTTGTGGTCGAATTGATTCCAACTCACAGCCACCCTATAGGACAGAGTAGAACTGCCCCATAGGATTTCCAAAAGAGCAGCTAGTGGATTCCAACTGCCGACCTTTTGATTAGCAGCCGAGCTCTTAACCACTGCACTACCCAGGGCTCCACTGAGCTCCCAGAAGGTGCCAGTAAATGTGGCAGTGGGGTTTTACCCAAAGTTTTCATCACGATAAAGTAAATGTTTCAGTAATGGAGTACCCTGCTGACCCTTTGATCCACCAGTCGAACAATGGAACCTGCACTTCTTTACCCTCACCACTTTTTTTCCTGTCCGGTTGTATTAGTACTTTCAGAGTAATTTTCCCTCCCAAAGAGAAGGAAAGGCAGGCTCTGGACGACAGTGTCTATGAGTTAGATGGTATGAATGTCTCCTATGGACTAGGGCTAGGAGAATACATGAGGGGGTCATGTGGTGTAGTGGAAGGAGCACCGGGGTTCCTTCTCCAAGGACTTTAATTCTTTCCATTAACAAGTTACTTACTCTCTTTGAACCTTAGTTCAAATGGGAATAGGAATACCATTACCTAAAAGTATTGTGGTGATATGCTAATTGTAGAGTCTTACATAAATGCTCGTTACTATTATGCTTTTGAGACACTAATAAAGTAGCAGCTAAATGCCACGACACACAAAAAAATGCCTTTTTTATTTCAAGTGACTTACAGAAACTCTCAAAGCAATACTGTTTTTTGAAGTTTGTTTCTCTAAAGATGAGAACTTCAGTACATTCCTGGCTCCTCAGGCACACTTAAGACTACTATAAGTGAAGCTCCGCCTCCCTAGCGTCTAAGCCTCGCCCCTGTCTGCAAACTTCTGCGTTGTAGGGCCCGTCAAAGCTGATTGACACTCGTATCCACCAGTAAGAAGTGACTTTTCCGTCAATGTCCGGTAAGAGGGCAGGACTTCCTTTCTGGTTGCTAAGACACTCTTGTTTCGCTCCTTGACAACCCTGGTGGGGGTGCGCTGGCTGCGTCCCCGGCTCCGGCCCCCGCGGGAGCAGGTGAGGCCCCGGGCGCGGCGGGCAGCCGGGCGGGGAGGGCTGACCCCGAGGGAGGGCAGGAGACAACGCGGAGCAGGCCGGGCCTCGCCGTCCGCTGAGGCCTTTCCTCAGTCTCCTGCCTGCCCTGCCTCAGCTCTCTCTCCCCCTTTTGGGACCTGCGAGCTTGGTTGTAAAAGATTTCGGAATCGCAACTCTGCAAGCCTCTTCCTCCCTCCCCCGCCCCCGCGCCCCTCACAGCCTCGAGGCCCGGTCCAGGTTAGCGCTCCCACCGCACCATGATCCCCTCTCTTTTAGCGGGATAACCTCACTCAACGCCTCGCACCCCCCCACCCCCACCCCCCGCTCCCCTGCCACCGCTCCCTGCGGCCGGTCGCGGTCGCCTCAGCCCAGACCGTTTGGCTTGGAGAGTTGACGATGCACTGGGATTCCAGACTGGTCATTTCACTCTTGGGGCCTCAGTTGCCCTATCTGTAAACAAGAAGTTGGGTTAAATGATTTCTAAGGCCTCTTCAACTCGGACATTCTAGGATGTTCTGATTCTTTGATCCAACTATAGGCTTCCCGAGGGAGGTAGCGCTGGAGTGAAAAGAGCTTGGCAAACCTAATTTGGATTCCCAGTTGCAGGACCCTAAGCAAGTTACATAATCTCCCTGGGCTCTAGTCTGTGCATATATAAAATTAGAATACTACCGCGCATCTCCTTTGAAAGTTCTGAGGATAATATGAATTGAGGAATAGAGAGCCCAGTCCAGTGTAGATGCTTGATAGGTTTGTTGGTTTCTTTCCTTTTTCTCTTACTAGCCCTCATTTTTCCTCTCTAGGAAGCTTTACCAACTCCCTTCGCATCAACTGTCATCTCTGCAGCTGACTCTAAAATTTACATCTCCAGCTCTAAGCTTTCTCCTGGGCTTCCTTGGTTAGGTATACTTTTGTGGGGGAAGGGGGGTGGGCGGGTAGAGACTGATACATTATGTGATGATTGGACTAGTTGGTCCCCCTTTTATTCCGGATAGTCCATGGTTTGGTGATTTCTTACTCCTGACTCGACATGCCATTTGCATATCTCATCAACAACCTAAACTCAGTAGTTGTAAAAATCAGACTGGCCTACCCATCTGTTCTGCCTGCCTTCCCTGTCTATCAGAGACACCATCCTGTGGCATTAGGGATTGAATTTTGTCATCCCCCACCCCCCAAAATGTGTGTCAACTTGATTAGGCCGTGATTCTTGTATTACGTGATGGTCCACCATTTTGTCATCTGATGTGATGGTTAAGAGCTTAGCTGCTAACCAAAATGTTGGCAGTTCGAATCCACCAGCTGCTCCTTGGAAACCCTATGGGGCAGTTCTACTCTGTACTGTAGAGTCACTAAGAGTCTGAATAGACTGGAGAGCAATGGGTTTGGATTTTTTTGTTGTTACTGTTGTTTTTTGTAAATCCTACCTCTATGATGTTAGGCAGGATTAGAGGCAGTTATGTTAATGAGGCAGGACTCAATCTACAATATTAGATTGTATCTTGAGTCCATCTCTTTTGAGATATAAAAGAGAGAGCGAGCAGAGAGACTGGGGAACCTCATTACCACCAAGCAAGAAGAGCCAGGAGTGCACGTCCTTTGGACCTGGGGTCGCTGCGCTGAGAAGCTCCTAGACCAGGGGAAGATGATGACAAGGACCTTCCCCCAGAGCCGACAGAGAGAGAAAGCCTTCCCCTGGAGCTGGCACCCTGAATTTGGACTTGTAGCCTCCTAAACTGTGAGAGACTAAATCTCTGTTTGTTAAAGCCATCCACTTGTGGTATTTCTGTTATGGCAGCGCTAGATAACTAAGACAGGCATCATCCATCCCTCTGCTATGCCCATCCCACTGGGGCAGTTGCTAAGTTGTGTAGATTCTGCCTCCGTGAGAACCTCACATCCTCCGTTCCTGAACACCCTGGTTCAAGTCTTTAATGTCTATCCCTGGGCAGTAAAGACTTGTTCCCATACCTTCTTAACTGGTGTCTGTATCTCCAGTCTCTCTTGCCAGCCCAGCCCACCAGAATGATTGCCCTAAAACAGAACCATGTCACCAACCACCAAGAGATGTCCAAAGGGCTTCCCACCCCAGCCCCCCAATATCCACACTTCCTAAGCCTAGTTATTAGGGCCCTTCTATACTTCCACACCCTAGCTTTATTTCTCCCTCCTCCTTTCCCAAATTCTATCCTCTAGCCAAATAGGACTGTTAGACTGTCCCAGAAAATGCTTCAACCTTTCTGCCTTACTTGCATCGTCGTAAGAGACAAAACATTCATCCCTCTGCCTGGAAGGTCTTCCTCACCTCACCCGCCTGTCAAGATTCCCGCTCAAATTGCTCTCCTCTCCCTCGCACCTCCCCACCGCCTTAGTGCCCTCCAGAATTCTGTTCTTTCATCTATGTCTGTATTGTGGCACTTAACACTTTCTGCCATGAACCAGTTAGTGGTGTGTGTGTGTGTGTGTGTGTGTTGTGTGTGTGTGTGTGTGTGTTGGTCTCCCACATTAGATGATAAGCTCCTTAAAGTCAGGAACTCTGTCTTTCCTACCGTGGAGTAATTGGAAAAGCATAATCTTTGCAGTCCAATATATTGGCATCAAATCCTGGCTCCTCTTCTTACTAAACCCATTGCCTTCTAGTCAATTCCAACTCATAGCAACCCTATAGGACAGAGTAGAACCACCCCATAGGGTTCCCAAGGGGTGCCTGGTAGATTCAAACTGCCGACCTTTTGGATAGCAGCCATAGCTCTTAACCACTGCGCCACCAGGGTTTCCCTCTTCTTACTAGCTGGGTGGAAAGTCACTTTTCTCAGCCTGGGAGGTCCTCAATAACATAGGGATAATAGTGCCTGCCCATCATTATTGGAAAGAATAAGTTAGATCCTATAGGTAAACCACTCCTCCTGGTGCCTGGCTCAAGGTAAGTGTTCAATAAATCTTGAATGGACTTGGTAGGTCCTCTCCCTTCCCAGGGGACAAATATAATTTAATGACAATTTAAATACTTGTTGGGCTTCTGCCATGTGCCAGACACTGGGCTTTGTGCTCTTGGGGGTCCGGAGGAGACTAGATGCAGGCTCTCGGTCTCAGGCAATTGTCTGGGCGCACAACGCGTGGCTGAGTCGTGATCGGTGAGGTGCCACCAGAATTAGTAATTGTGAATGATTTTTTAAAATAAATCAGTGCTAATTCAAGTTTATTCCTAGGACTGTCAGTCCCTCACATTCAAATCTGTTCCCATGAGTGGGAAAGAAGGGTGGAGAGAAGGAGCTGTGTCGCCCACTGTCAATAGTAAGCAGCTGTTTCTCATGGAGAGTGAATAGCTGTGGTGGTTATGACTTTTTGTTATGCTTTGTGTCCTGACAAAAATGTTTGGGAATTCATCCAGATTTGAGTACATCCACAAGGGTGTACTGTGTGCATCATTGTCGTTTATCATACGGTGTTAGACATAAAGGAAATGTTGAGAATCGTAGACCTAAACTGGGTATTCAGCAGAGATGGATTATGGGATGGTTTTCTCTCTCTCTCCTTCTCTCTTTCTCCCTCTCTCTTTTTCCTCTCCTCCTGTGGTCTAAGGCACATCAAACGTTTTCACTGGTCCTCAGTAAAATGAGAAACAATGACAATATAAATAGCCTTTGTGTGAGTATGAAAGGTAACTGTCTTTTCTTGAGAAGGGCTGTCCTTTATTCTACAATTACCTCCTTACTGTTAAAATTTTCTTTCCTTTATAGCAGATGCTGAGGTTTTTTAATACTCTTACTTAGCAAAATTAAAAATTAGCATACCTGTGTTTGCTCCCCCATTTCAACTGTCTAAGAAATCCAGGGCTCCGAGAAACCTGGTCTTGGGCTTTGTTTCCTGACCTCACTGCTAACATCTTGGATGGCTACCTCCAAGTCCTTCGTTCTCTTTCCCCTCATCTTCGTGCAGGCTTGTTGTTTGTTTGCCAGAAGGCAGAGGGTGGACTCTTCCAGAAGAGGCAGGAGCATGGCCGAGGTGTGCAGTGTATATCCCCAAGAGGGCTGCAGCAGGAGGTGCACTGGGCAGGCAGCCGGACTGGTGGATGCCGAGCATTGAAGTTATTTGTGTTAATGTCTTTTTCTCCTACTTGCCTGTAACAAGGGAGAAAGCACAGACAGTAGAGTCAGACCGCATAGATGTGGACTTGGATCCTGGCTCTGCCATGCTGGCTGTGTGACCTTGGGCCAGCCACAAAACCTCTCTGAGCCTCAGGTGCCTTGTCTGAGAACTGGAAGCAGATACATCCCTCACAGGGTTGTTCTGATGATGAAATGAGACGAGGAGTATGAAAGCACAATGTAACCACGCCACTGCCACCCCGGCCTCAGCCAAAACTGTGTTTGACAGAATTTCCTTGTGATTCTTTTCCTCCTTCAGTTAGTAGCATGGTGATTTGCACCCAGCAGCAACTTGATAGTTATCAGTTTGTTTGGCTAAATGCTTAGATGTTCAGTTGGTTGGTATATGACGAAGCACACCAGAGTTCCCCTTGCAGTCACAGGTGCTGACATTTGCCGACTGCTTCTTCTTGTGGGAACCCTGCCTGGCCCTTTGCTTGCATTGCCTCCTGTCATCCTTCCAGCAACCCTATGAGGTCGAGACTCTTCTTATTCCCAGTTTCCAGATGAGAAAACATAGGCTTAGAGAAGTTAGCATGTGTCCGAGACAGCACACAGACGTGAACTCAGAACCTCCATGCTTGGCTCCGAGCATGTCTTCTGGTCTTGCAGAGGTATGGCGGCTGGGAAAGGGTGGGGAGCCATAGTCCAGGGGCCAAGAGTATTCCAGGCACTGAGTGACTGGATCCCCCCCGGTGGGCCAGCAGACACTCCCTGGCCTTATTTTTCACAATCCGTTCATTTTCCCATCCTTCTCACATACCTTAGCCCTCTTCAGGATTCTTCCCAAATGCTTCAGAAGCAAAATAGTCAATGATGGGAGGTCAGTGCCACAAAGAACAAGAGACAGAGGGTCAAGGGACATGGGCTTCGGCAAGGCTATGAGATAAACAGCCCTGGTGCTGTGCCTCCTGTTGCCTAGGAGAAGCCTCGCGTCAGAGGCAGGCGAGGCTGTGGAAAGCACGCAGAGGGGCCTTTGGGTGAGGAGGAGAATAATGGGCAGAGGGAGAGAGCAAGGCTGCCGCCAGGATGGCCCAGATGGGATGGGGTCGTGCTCCGGACCCAAGCAGATTCAGGGACCCTGGCCTTGGACACACTTCCACGATTAAAAGGCTCGCCTACGTCTGACCGACTTCTTTCTGGGCTGGAGCTTTCAGGCACACATTCATTTAAATGGAAGATTGATAAGGTTATTAACACCTCTGGTTCAGCTATTTTTGGTAGCATTCTTCCCGCAGGACTTTTAATTGTGACTGAATAACTATAGCTATACTATAATGATACAGCATCATAAAAAATTCTCCTACCTTTCTGTATTTGGAAACATATCATCTGTAACTGTCCTTTTTTTTTTTTTTTCTTTTTTTTTTGTCTGTAAGTCTCATCCCTTTTGAATGCCCAGAGGTACGTGTAGTGATTAGGAAAAGCGATTTGCAATCATGTCCTTGATAATGTGATTAAATAATGTTGATGAAGTCTTGACCAATAACATGGTGGTAGTGGGAAGCGGAGTCCCTGGGTGGTGTAAATGATTAACATTTCGACTGCTAACCAAAAGGTTGGAAGTTCAGGTTCACCCAGAGGCACCTCGGAAGAAAGGTCTGGTGATATGCTTACGAAAAATCAACCATTAAAAACCCTTTGGAGCACAATTCTTCTGTGACACATATGAGGTCGCCATGAGTTGGAGCTGACTCAGTGGCAAATTAGAAAAAAACAAAAAGAGAGCAGTGCCATTATAATAGTGCAGAGAGCTGTACAATTTTCAAAATGCTCGTGTGCATATACTTGGCGCTTGCAATAGCTTTCTGAGAATGCAGAGATGGAATTTAATATCCCATCTTACAGAGGAGGAAACCAGGGCTCAGGTTAAATTACCGGCCCAAGGTTACAAAGCAGGAAGAGAGCACAGTTTGTTTCTGTGATAGAACTGGTATTTAAACCTAGATATTCTGGCTCATGATCCTGCACCATTCTCTACTCTTACAAGGCACTTCCCTGACCATCGCCCCGGTGGCTTTTTCCCCTTTGTCCTGGGGCTGGGCTTTGCTGAGAAGTCTGAAGTCCTGGGACGTTTCATCAGGATTCTGTATCTTGAAGCAGAGTTCAAGCAGCCATCAGAGACAGGCAGTGTAGGATTGGTCTCCCAGGTCCCTTCCAGGCTCCCATGTGCTAGCACTTTGTAGGCCCCAAGACTGAGATGAATTGAAAGATTTAGGTGGAAGATGTCTAAGCTGTTGCTTCATCGTTTTAAATCATTCCCACTTGAAAATGTTGGAAAGTAAACCATCAAGCTCTTACTCTTTTATCACCAGTGTAGCTACCACCTTCTGTCACATCTTGATTAATGAGGAGGAGGTGGTGACAAATTGGCCACTACTAAAGCTAGGAGGACAGAGTGGTGTTGGGATGGGCCTGAACATTAATGAGCAAAAAAGACAAAATGATTCACTAGACTTTGTGAAATAAGAAAGATGAGCAGAAGGTATAAAGAGCTTTTGCTTGGTAATTTGCCAGTTTATATGCAGGGACAAACAAAACTGCTAATATCTGAGCGGTGCAAATGCCCAAAACTGATGGGATGGAACCTTCTGTCTGCTGGGAGATCAGAAAATACCAGTGTCTTGGGGTGGTGGAGTTGGTGCCAGGTTTCCAGCCCTGTTCAAAGGAGCCAGCCAAATGGAGTGGCTTCTGAAGCATCAGAGAGATGAAATTGAGAGCACAGCCCAGTAAGCTCAGCACTTGGCCAAATACGGGTCAAGTTAGCATTCGAGTGGTAGACACTGAAAGGGAAGATCTCCTGGCTGCGATCCCATGAGCCCCATGAGGGTGAGTTCTACAAACGTTTTGTGAGTGCCCGCTGGGTGTCGAGGCTGTGAGGAGGCCATTTGGAGTAGTGGCTCAGAGTGCCCAAGCCAGAGACAGTGCCTGCATTCAAAGCCCAGCCCTGCTGCCCACTAGCTGAGTGACCTCAGACCGGCGACATAATACTTTGTGCCTGCGTTCACACAGGACTGAACTCACAGGGCTGTTGCAACACTGAACTGAGGACAGCACAGCCCTTAGAACAGTGGCTGGCATGTAGGAAACCTAAGAGATGTTACCTGTCATTACCTGCCTGTTACTGTACTAGGCATCTTTGTGGCTCGGTGGCTACGAAGTGAAAGTACATTTTTCTGGAAATGGGAGTAATGCTAGAGTAGTATATGACTGTATTTGTCCAGTATTGATTGTTTCAAAGGGTTTAACAAGGTGATTTGTCTTCCATTATATCAGTCTTTCTTCGGAGGTAAAAAGCCCTTTGAACTATAGGATACATTTATAGAAGGAGAAACACCAGGATTTCCAGCAATTCTCCCAGCACTTTTTAGGGAAAGCCCCATCTGTTGATAGATAACTGGGTTAAACCAGCCTTCACATGTGTACCAGGCCTTGGAACTTTCCAGTCACATCTTATGCATTCAGTCTTTCATTTGATTCACCCAGGAACCAGATGGAGGGAACAACACCTTATGAGGGCCTACTACGTGCCTGGCGCTATGTCATTTGCTTTACGTATGTTGTCTCGCTTAATTCTCGTAACAGCCCATGAGATAGGTGTCACCGATGGCGAATCTCAGGCCCAAGGCCACACTGCTGGTGAGTAGGAGAACCAGCATAGCACCCAGGCCTCCCAATGCCCAGCCAGCCAGCAGGACAGGTGGCCCAAGGGGGAGTAGGCAGGAAGAGCAGGGGAGACCGGTATGCCAAGGAGGGCACGGAGCTTCCTGTTCCTCCCGCTGATCAGGGACCTGTGGAGGCGGCACTCACTTGCCAGCAAGCCTAGGATTGTTGATAGTGACCTGAGCCTTTGACTGACCACCTCTGCTGGGAAGTCAGGACTATGTCCATGGACACGCAGAAACACTGCACTTGTTCATTGCTAGCCCAGTGCTCCACTCAGCCTGCTTCAGCCCTGGCCCGCAGTATTTGTCGTGGTAATGACAGTGTGGGCTTGCAGCAGCGTACCAGTGTGTTCTCAACCAGGTCCCAGCATCTTATGTTGACTCATCCTCATCGGCAGACTTGCTGGCCATTTGGAAAAGGATGTGGAGGAGTTAAGACAGGGAGGTGTCAAGTCGTTACTGAGACATTTCTAATTTGTGATGTACAGTTTCAAAGCCAGCTCTTCCTGGTTTTTCCTGTTTTCTACAGCACCCCTTGGGGAAAGACACTTTCTGCTCCCACCAAGTTGGCAGGCCTGCTTCCTGAATCTCCCGGCTGTGTCTTAATCACCAGTCTCAGCACCTCCTGAAAGCCCCACTCTCTCCTCCAGTGGCCACAGTGGAAGGACCATGGGAGAAACTGAAGGGAAGAAAGATGATGCTGATTATAAGCGCCTGCAGACCTTCCCTCTGGTCAGGGTAAGCCCCGGGGAGGCAGGCAGGCGGCCAGCAGGGCCCACACAGCCTTGGAGAGGCAGGTGGAGCTCATCCCCCTCAAGACAGCAGTGGGAGGAAGCTCAGAGCTCTGCCAGCTGGGATCTAGAGCGTTGAGAGTCTACAATGGTTCATTCTTTCATTCATTCATTCATTCGACAAGTATTTCCTTAGGCCACCTACTGTATGTCGGGCGCTGCTGTAGGCCCTGTGGACATAGATGGGAACGAGACAGACAAAGGCTTGACCCACAGGAAAGAAATGTTTAAAGCACATAATTCAGGCAGTAAAGGCTATAAAGAAAATAAAGTAGTGTAGGGGGCTGGAGAGAAGGGGTTAGCTTCTGGAAAGGTTTCTCTGATCAGAGACCTGAATAAAGTTAAGAGAAAACCTTGTAGAGATCTGGGGGAAGAATAATCTAAGCAGGGAAAACAGCCAGCACAGAGGGCCTGAGGTAGAAATGAGCTTAGCATTTTAGAGGAACAGAAAACCAGTGTGGCTGGGACAGAGTGATGAGAAGGGGTGAGTGGGTGGCAGGAGGGTGAGGGGGTCAGAGTGACAGTGGGGACCAGACCTGACAGGCATGGTGGGCCACAGTGAGGAATGTGCATCTGTCCTGAGTCAAAGGGGAGCCAGTGGAGGGGTGTGATCTGTTTTATGGTTTTAAAAGATCCTGCTAGCTGTTGGGAGGAGAGTGGATTTTAGGGTACGGGAGTGGAAGTGGGAAGGCCAGTGAGGAGGTTACTGCAGAGGCCCAGAGAGAGATGAGAGTGGCTGGGTCCAGGTCACAGCAGTGGAGGTGGCGAGACACAGACTCAGGACACATCTTGAAGGTAGAGCCAGTGAGACTCACTGACGGATCACAGGCTGGGTATGAGGGAACGAGGGCCAAGGGTGACTCCTAAAGGTTGTCTTTTGCTGAGCAACAGGAGAGAAATGGCACCAGTTACCGAGAGAGGGAAGGTGCGGGAAGAGTGCGCTTGTGGGGTTGTGTAGACATCTAAGTTGTGGGGTTGTGTAGACATCTAAGTTGTGGGGTTGTATAGACATCTCAGTGGGGCTGTCGAGCAGGCAGTTGGACATATGAGTCCAGAGCCCACGTTAGACATTAGAGGTGAGATGACACTGTGGGAATTGTCCCACATAGGAGACAGCGAGCCATGGAACAGGATGAGGCTGCTAGAGAGTAAGCTAGCTGGAGAAGAGGAAAGGCTGGAGATGGCGCCAGGGCCCTCGAGTAGTTGGGAAGAGGAGGAGGATCCAGCAGAATAGACTGAGAAGGAGCAGCTAGAGAGGCAGGAGGAAGACCAGGAGCCCTCGGAGTGGCCACACTGTCCCTCCAGGCCTCTGGTGTGAAGTCAGTTACCCCTGAGGCCGCCGGGTGGACCATTTCTGTAGCTGGCATCTCTCCGTGCCTGGGCTGGCCTGCTTTCCTGTGTCTGACGTGGTGCTGATGAGACCAGTTGCTTTGTGGCCTTGTAGAGGGCCCGGGCTTGAGAACTTACGTGGCGTGGCTTACCTCCATGCCCCTTGGCCCCGGCTGCATGCCCTTAGTCAGGAGACCGGTCACCTCTGGATGAAGGGCAGTAGGCTCCACCCAGGGCTGTGCAGCTACCTAGTGTCCATGCCTTAAGCTTGGGACAGAGAGGCCAGCCAGGGAGGCCGGGTCATGGCTAAGCCTCTCTCTGTTTGTCACCCCTGCCCTGTCTCTAGCACTCGGACATGCCAGAGGAGATGCGAGTGGAGACCATGGAGCTATGTGTCACAGCCTGTGAGAAATTCTCCAACAACAATGAGGTATTGCCATCAGTGCAGGCAGCCCCTTGTACCTTTGGTGACCACTGGGGACGAATAGAGTGGCCCCTGTCTCTGCAGCCAGCTCCAGAGAGGCCCGCTGGGACTAGGCGAGGGCCTTCCTTGGAGGCATCCGCAGTTTGGGGAAGGGCCGATGAGGGAAGAGGTTGATGCTGACTCGTGCACTGATGGTCATGCCCAGCCGGAGAGGGAGAAGAGCCAGGTCTCTGTGGCACCCCTGCCCATGTCCCCCTTTCAGGGGGGCTGCTGATAGGGTCCCTTTCCCCTCGACTCCATCCACACAGTGAGCAGAGGCCCGCCTAGGCATTCATTCATATATCCATTCATCCATCCAAAAGCTAGCTTGTTAAACACCATCTCTGTGCCAGGCACTGTTCTAGGGGCTGGGGGTACAGCCAGTAGGCATCCACACAAGAATGTCATTCATCAGTCTGGTGGGGAGTGAGGAAGAAGCCAAGGTCATGGCCGTGGGCCCCATGAGAGCCAGGCGTGGGGCCAGTGAGGCCCAAGTTCATGTCCTGTCTCCAGCCTTTCCTGGCTCTAACCTTGGAAAGCAATTTCCCACCTCTGCACCCCAGCCTCCTGGTCTGTATGGTGGCGGGGTGTGGTGCCTCCCTTCCTGGGCCAGTGGTGAGGATTACTCACCAAGACAACGTGGCCATGTGCTCCCCTCAGCCCAGCACCAGGTGAGCCCATGGGGGCGGGCGCGGTTGGCACACATCAAGTGCCCGAGCACAGGGCTCACCCCAGAAAGAGGTTCCTCTGCCCTCCCTCAGACCTCTTCTTCACGGTGGGGGAAGCTTCTTGAAAGAGCAAGCCCAGGAAGAGGTGGGCTGTTGCTATGGCTGAGGGAAGCAGCCCAGCCTCTATTCCTGGAACCCATCAAACCCACTAGGGAGTGCAGGAGAAAGCCTTTTATCTTCACTGACAATAAACCCGACACCTCAGAGTGACGATAATGAGCCTTTACAGTCTGCAGAGTACTCTCCCATATATCACTTCACGTAGCCTGAGAATAGCCTGTGCCTATTTCTCCAGTTTCCAGGTGAGGAAATTGGTACTGACGCAGAAAACGACCAGGAAGTGGCCAAGCCAGAACCCAAGCCCAGGGCTCTGTCCAGAGCTAGTTGCTTGCTTGGCCACTTCAGCCAGTTTTTCCTGGCTGCTGAGGTAACGCCTAGCTTTCAATCCCTGTGTAGCTGGCAGCTGGTGACCTGCGTGGAAACCCTTCCTGAAGTTTCCGTGTGCAGAACAGCACTAATAGGACATCAGGCCTCTCTCTCGCCAACACCTGGTTGCCAGACTTATACCCACTGTCTCCCCCAAACTCACCTCTCTGATGACTGTCCTTTCCATTCCAGAGTGCCGCCAAGATGATCAAAGAGACAATGGACAAGAAGTTTGGCTCCTCGTGGCACGTGGTGATTGGCGAGGGCTTTGGGTTTGAGATCACACATGAGGTGAAGAACCTGCTGTACCTGTACTTCGGAGGGACCCTGGCAGTGTGTGTCTGGAAGTGCTCCTGACACTCTGTACCCCACCCCAGCCCCCCGTTCCCTGCAGGGGCTTCTTCTGCCACTCTTCAGGGATGGGGAGCAGCCACAGGCAGGCCTGGGTTCTGTGAAGGAGAGTGGGGTCTTTCTTTTCGTCCTGTGTACCAGTTTCCTGAGCCACGCCCAGTGTGTGACTTGCTGGCATCTGTAATCCTGGGCTCTCAGCTGTCTCACTCTGAGTCCAGGGTGTAAGCGGGGGCGACAGCTCTCTGGGGGGAGGAGGAGGATGTGGCAGCGTAAAAGGAGGATGTGCCAGCTTCCCCTCTCCTGGGCACCTCTCCCCTGGCATTCCAGGAACCCGCTCCTCTTCTTCTCCAGCACTGCTATAAAGTGTCCCCTGTCCTTGTCCTTAGTGGCCATATGAAAATGGCCCCAGGAAGGAGCCTCTCCTCTCAAGGGACACCGGCAGCTTCTCTCCTTGTCCTCTGGAGTGTGGTGACCCCTCCAGCACCTCCCCCAACCTGACCCTAGGCTGAACAACCACTGCGTCTCATTGGACGAATGCTTATCCTTCCCAGCTTGGCAGGAGGGACCGTGCAGCCTTTCCCCACCCGTCCTCTCCACCCCCACCCCCTGCTACCACACACAGCCACCAGGCTGCTTGAACCTCCAGATTGCCATGCCCTGCGCAGTTAGTGAGGGAGTGGGCACTGTTGGGGAGCAGTTTCTCGAGGTGTCACGGAGCCTCTGGTGAGCCGCTGGGCCAGGAGTGCACTCACCCACGGGGCCTGTCTCAGCAGGGAACCTGGCCTGCCAGCTACTTCTCATCAGGGACCACATGCTAATTTGTACTGCTTATCTCTGCTCGATTTTCTATATTATTTTCGAGTGTGGGGAGAAGGGTTTTAGTAGAAGGGTGAATCATATTTTACACAGCAGTCTTATTTATATAAATGTCTTGGTTTTTACAATTAAAATGACCAAAAACTGACCTTGATATATAGCCTCTTGGAGCTAGGGGAGACGTGGTTTGTCTGTAGTGGGTCCCAGGAGCCCAGAAATGCGTCTGGCTTAATAGCAGAGCTGCTGGAAGTCCCGTGCCCCAGGCCAGCCCACTCTCCCCAGCCTTGCCCCTCACACCATTATGTCAAGGTTAGGGACTGATGTAGTTGGATAAGGCCATGTGGACATGGATGTAGATGCCTTTGGGGGCCAGACTGAGCTACTGTGAAAGACGTTTCCAAGCCCACGTGATTCAGTTCAGTTCACCAGATGCTTATTCAAAAGCTGTTGTGTGCCAGGCCCCATCCTAGGAGCTGTGGATATAAAGATGACAAAGCCACAGGTCCTGCCCTCAGGGAGTTCACAGTCCCTTGTGGAGGACACTTGAAACCAGTCATTTCAACCTAGTGTGGAAAATGACAGGATAAATGGCATCCTGGGGGAAGAAAACCAAAACAAAATAAACCAAACCCTTTGCCATCGAGTCAATTCCAACTCATAGGAACCGTATAGGACAGAGTAGAACTGCCCTGTAGGGTTTCCAAGGAGCTGATGGTGGATTTGAACTGCTGACCTTTTGGTTAGCAGCTGTAGCTCTTAACCACTGTGCTCCTAACCCAGCCTAGGGGGCAAAGGTGGGCCCCTGGCCGGCATGATGCCTGGAAGCCAGCTCTTGGAGGAACAGTGGGGCTTCTCCCAGGGAGAGGACATTCCAGGCTAAGGGAAGGGTGGGGGTAAATGCCCAGGTGAGAAGCAGCTTGGGGATGAGGGGCCGCATTCTGGACCGTGAAACCCCTTCTGCTCAGGGCTGGTGCCTGTGTCCCATCTCAGGCCTGGAAGGCCGGGGTGCCTGTCCTCTCCTGCCTACCTCCCCAACACTCTTCTAGCACTCTCGGGCCTGGGAGCCCAAAGGCACCTGGCCCAGTCATGCCTTCTGTGCCCAGGGCTGAGAGTCCAGTGTAACCAGACCTGTTGTCGGCGGAGCTGCTAGCCGGCATCGAGTCAAGCAGAGAGGACCGGTCAGACAGATCAGTGTGGCTGAGAAGGGGGAGCACATCTGCTCGTTCATGAGCTTAAGCAATGCTTGTGAGTTGTGCTTTGTGCTGGGTCCTGAGCTGGCTGCCATGGGGCAGAGAGAGAACAAGAAGTCACTGCCCGAGGGCTGGCCGCCTGCTCAGCGGGTCTCAGGATCTAACCATGGAGCAGGGCCTGGCCCTCCTGGACTTCCGGCCTGCCCTTCCCTGGCCCTGCCCAGCCTGAGAGATTGTCGAGCTGCGCAGATGGGGCTGAGGCGGGGGTGGCGCGGGAAGAGGAGGGGGCGCGGGCCTGGAATAGCTGTGGTTTATTAACCGCCTGCTTTGCATCTGTTCTCTCCTTGAATCTGCTGGTCGTGGGTGCCAGCTCGGCCTCAGCCAAGGCGATGGGGTGCGGGTTGGTGAAGAGTGGGGGCTCTGAGGCCCACAGATCTGGGTTCAGGTCCAGCCCTGCCCCTCCTAATCTCTCTGCCTCAGTTGCCTCTTCCATAGAACGGGGATAAAAATAGCACTAGCCACAGAAGGTTGCTGGAGTCTTAGGAAGGAGTCTGGAACGCAGTAACACCCCAGCGGTGTTTGCTTTATTGCTGTCGTTAGACTGTGCACCCCTCGGGCCCTACCTCCCTTCCACCTGTAGACGGGGTGTTGACACCTAGTCCCTCAGGACCGGTGAGGACTTTGCCACATGGGGCTCGGAAGGGACCTGGCACTAGCAGGCACACTGTGTAGTGTTTCACTGTGACAGGCTGCTGCAGTATGGGAGCCCCCTCTCCCTTAGTCATTCCCATCTACTCGGCACCCGCCCCCCCTGGCAGCATGGCAGTGTTCGCCCAGGGACTCTGGGTCTCAGTGGTGTTTCACTTTCCCATCACTCCCTGAGGCCCAGGTCAGGCACAGTCACCTGACCTTCCTCACAGGCCCTCGCTGCTCATGGCCAGTGACCCAGTGGGCATCTGCCAACGGGAGCTGAAAAGGGGAGGAACATAAAAATGAAAACAGTGCTATCCTTGCCAGCTACTGAGAGACTGACCAAGGGACAGAAAAAACGGAAACGTCTGAGGGCTTTGCTAGGAGGAGAGAGATGATGCCCCAGGAATGTGGGGTTCAGAGGAGGGAGTGACTCTGGAACTTGGGAAAGCTCCACAGGGGAGGTAACACTGAACTAGGCCTTGGCATTTTCCGGGGGAGGGATGAGACAGGGTTGGTGCAGGGAGAATTTCACCACGGGTTGAGGGAGCAACAGCCTGTGCAGAAAAATGGTGGCCCAAGGCAAGCTCGTGAGGAGTCAGGGAAGTCGCATGGGTGGAGGGGGGTTGGGTGTGAGGGTGAGGAAGTCAAGGCCGAAGGTGAAGGGGCTCGTCTGGGGTTGACAGGGAGAGAAACTACCTCTGTTGCGTATCCCCCTACTTGACGGGCACTGGCTCTGACCTTTATGATCACCATCGCATGTCAGCCTCAACAGTGTCCAAGATGGTAGTCACTGTCCCTTTTACAAATGAAGAAACTCAGGGTCCAAGGACACAGACCCAGGCCTGCCAGCCTCCAGAGTCACTGCTGCGCCCACGTGTGGCCTTCTTCCTGAGAACCGGGCTCCTGTACCCGGCAGTGCCTCAGTCCAGCCACTTCCTTCAGCCCTCAGGCCACCGCCCTGCCCTGGCTCCACCACAGCACCTCTGGCGTATTTACTTAGTGGAAGCAGCAACCGCAGCCTCGGCAGCCAGGCACCTCCACTGCCACTGTGGTGTAGGGGGTGATGGCTGGTTCTGCAGCAATGGCGTGGGCCCCTCTGCAGCATCAGGGTCGGTGTGGGGAAGTCGGCAACCTAGTTCAGATCCATCTAGAGGGCAGGTCACAGGCCCCAACTCACAGGGCCTTGTCCCTCTGCCTGGGCGAGCAGTGGGTGCCTGAGCCAGAAATAATGAAGCATTGCCCCACCCCACCCCCCCAGGGGACCAGCAGACTCCAGAACTAGTCCCCACCCAGAGGAGGACCAGGAGACCCCGAGGCAGTCAGTGTGAGCAGGTGAAGGGTGGGGACATGATGACAGGCCCCATGGCAACCAAGAAAGTGGGCATGCTGCCAGGGGGGCTGCCTGTGGCGCTCTCAGTGGATCTTTGGAGAAGTCTCCTGGTGACTGTTTAATGTTGTCATGGAAGAGATGCAGAGAAGCTCCAGGATCCTGCTCAGCCTACTTCCTGCTTCTCTGGAGGACGGGGCCTCCAGGCAGGCAGGGAGGTGCCCTCTCGGGTTGTAGGGGCTGGGCGAGCTGTGCAGCAAGACTTAGTTCATTAAGAATAGGCAGCAGGTGCCAGGTGGTGTCCTTCAGATCCCCTGCTGTGGGTTTGGGAGGGGGTTGATAGGAGTTCAGCCACAAGCCACCATCCTGTTCTATTTTCCTTTTGTTCTCATCTCATATTTAAAACAACCGCCTCCCACTGCCAGCTGCTGTCTCCAACCCCTAGAAGGGAGCACGAGCCTTGGAGGCAGATGATGTGAATGATGCATAATATTCCCAAACTGTTCAGTGCCCAAAATGTGCCAGGCACTGCACTGAGTACTTTACAAACTATGGTTGAATTCTTACATCCATTCTGTGAGTAGATGCCGTGGGTATCCCCATTTCACAGATGAAGAATTGAGGTCCAGGGAGGTTAAGCAGTTTGCCCTGGTTCACGCAGCAGTTAAGTGGCAGAGCCAGGATTGTCCGTAGGTCTGTGACACCAGAGCCCAGCTCTTAACCCTCCACGGTGGACTGCCCACCAGGCTGGGCAAGCCACAGCTTCTCCCATCTCAGTTTTCTCCTCTGCAAAGGGGGGTGGCTCGCAACTCCTGCCCTGCCTGCTCCCACGTTCCCGTAGGGCACAGGAGACAGGGGCCACCAGCCCGGAAGTGTTTAGAGTTGGGAAAGGCTGATCACGGTTTGGGTCAGGGCCATCTGGGGTGCCACCCCCCGTCCTGGGGGCTTCTACTGCTGGTAGGAGGGTTGGGAGTCTGGAAGGGTGGGCTGAGCGTGGCAGGTAGATAATCGCCTCCAAACCCCTCAAGGCACCTGGGCCCTGCAGAGCCAGGATGTGAGGGGCAGGTACCCCAGATGTTGCATCTCTTCAGACAGCTGGGACCGGGCCCCGTCCTTCCATCCCGAG